GTGGGGGGGGTGGGGTGGGGTGGGGGGTGGGGGGACACAATGAACAGTTGGGTTGGGTGTAGTGGCAGCTCCCTCCCAGCAGCTGGCATCCCTCTCTCGCTGCTGCTGGGTGGTTGAGCCCGCATGCTGCCCTCCCCAACCTATCCAGTCGGCTTGCCCTGCAAGTCAACTGCACACCTGATTCCACTGCTTGTCTCACCTGGAGGCATACCTCCGCCAGCAGTGGCTTGTGGGTGGTCCACAGGTCCACGCCCGGCAGGCGCAGCCGGAACTCAATCGACCTGCGAGGCAGAATTAGCAGTAGTGGGCAAGCAGCTGCACCAAAGCTGATCCTTTCACTACAGACATTAAAAGGGCCAAGCAGGCTGGCTGGCAGCCACACGCGAAGTGAGCTGGGCAAGGGCAGCTCGCCTGTGCGGGCACGCCTTGAGGCATTCCATGCACAGGACTGCTGAGGGAGGGGGGGGGGTGCTGGGTGGTCAGATCGTTTGTGAAGTCATGCATGCAGGACAGCTGGCATAGCATTACTCCCTGCTAGACACAACCATCGCACCAAGCACGGCAACGGCATTCAAAACACAGGGCACGGCACAGGCGGCACGCCCTTCACCGCAGTTCCTGTTGTCCACAAGCTGCGCAGGATGAGAATAGACGGGGCAGCCGGCAGACTGTTGGCCCTCGGGCGGCTCCTCTGGGCCGCCTTTGTAGCAGTGGTAGGTGTTGCACGCGCCTGCGAAGAGCGCATCAGGCAGGGGTGGCGCAAGGAGAAGGCACACCAAACCCTGTCAGCCGTATGGCAGGAAGCTGCCAGCTTCCAACCGCCAGCCTTCCTCACTTGAGCAGACCCCATGCCGCGCCCGCAGCTCCGTCATGGACAGCTTGGCAAACAGGCCATTCATGCCGCCGATCGGACACAGGTATCTGCACCAGATGCGGCGCTCGAAGAACCAGCTGCCTATGCATGCGCCCGCGGTGATGAGCAGCAGCAACCAGGAGCTGAGGTAGGCCGTGTCTGGGAGGTCCCACACTTCCTCCCACACCAAGATGGCTGCAGCAATGGGCGTGCCCTGATTTATGCCCCGTTAGTTGCAGGCGGCTGCAACCAGCGCAAGTAATGCCCCAGCAGGATGCAACAGAAGTCAATGCAGGCCGCCTCACCGTAAAACAGCCAAAACAGGAACCAGGGCCCCCACTTGTCCATCTGCTCGCGAGGCCACTTCAGCAGCTTGGCGCCCTGGCTGCACAACAAAAACATTTGTGGAAATGAGTGCTACTTGCAGATGTGTGCGTAAGAGGGGCGCTGCAAGTAACGTAACCGAGCAACCGCATGCCTTGTCCCGACACTCCTTGCC